AAAATCCGGATCTTATTTTCATGCTGAGTGTTGTTGACCTCCACACAGACTTGAGAGTAGTGAAGCTTGTCATGCTTTTCCGATTCTTGCTTTGATATCCTCGTCAGTTCCGCCTGTAGTTGAAACGATGCTTCCCAGGTAGGTGGGTAAAGGAGGTTGTTTCTTTCAGGTTCCTCCCATTTATGCTGATTTTTGTCAGTTGTTGTTGTTGCTGTTGGTGGTGTTGCCCAGGAATTTTCATCACCTCTGTTTTCTCTATGTTCACCTGAAGTCCTATCTTTGATGCTTCTTCTGGTAACTTGTTGCTTTTCGCTTGCATGTCTTCCAGTTTGTTTACTAATGCTGAAATATATTTCTGTATTTTGAACGGATAAATTGTGTGTTCTGTCTTGGTTTTCTAACCGCTATCTGATCATACTGAAAGAGTATGTTAAGACGAGGGAGTGGATGATATATACTCACATGATCGCATCACTGCATCTTACATACTCATAGTACTCTGAATACTCTGAATTGCAATTATTGACAGAAGTAGATGCTTATCATTCCTAAACATATATCACATTACCAGCTGAGCTGATTTGCAACAAGAAGGTTTGCGTAGTTCCGAATGCAACTAAGATTCTTACATGTGTGGAAATTAATGAGCTTGACAACTACTGATAAGTGCTTTGTGACCTGTGAAATTTGTATTTGTTCACTGGTGATGACAATTGGGATTTTTAGAAAACTCTACATTAAAAAGATGTATTCACAACTCATTAGTAATAATAATAATTAACCTTCATTTTTAGTGTGACTGGTTCCTTCTTCGTAATGTTTTTCTTTGTGTCTCAAACATACTGATGCGACTTACTGATTTTCTAGAGTATTGAAAACTTAGTGGTCGTGTGAACTTCATCTGACAAGCAACGCTTACTTTTGAAGTGATTTGTGTCAGTCATCAGGGTTCTGAACTAATGGCTGCACGATAATATATGTGTCAGTAGACGTAGAGGTATTTGACACGACGTAGTTTTATGTATACTCTACTAGACAGTCAAAAAATAGGTGAAAAAATGACTGTAAAAATGTTCTTCAGTTCTCCATATCACGTTAACCATTAACAAAATTACCGTTGCAGCGGTGAATAACTCCCCAAAAATTATTACACCACAGCATTCTGCATGTAACAATGGATCCTGACCTTCACTGTTTTAGAAGACTTACTGTCAAGCATCCCAGTCATTTAGCAAACTGTGGTGTTCAGTCGTGCTTGCACAATTCCTACCTAGTTAAGTAACTGTCATCTCTCTGTGTTTCTGAACCTGAAATGGATCTCGTATTTTGGACGATCTACTTTTTGTTTCGATTTATTTCTGGTATCCGTGCAACAAATACTTTGGGAGTTACAGTATAAACACTTACGTTTAATTACAACATAAATGGCATAGACATCAGCATCCATCCACTAAACCGTAGAACTCAGTAGAAGTACATTGAAACTTTCCTTCCTTGAATTAGACTTAAAATCTATCATCATAACACCATAAGTTTTCAGAAATACCCACCCAAATGTAATTTTACTGACCTGGTTAGGTGTTGCTTCATACAACACAGATATATTGATTCAGGCTTGATTATGCATATGTTTTGCCTACTGCTTCCTTCGTATATTAACTGATGAACACTACTTTCTTTTAGTCATCAAATTTTTTGATTCATAACTTCTTACTGCTTCATTCTCCGCTTTTATATTATCTGTACGCTCAACAGAGGTGAACACATGTTCACGAAATTTCACAGGTGCTACTGAATAACATATATCATTTTGGTTGGAAATAAGTGTCTCATTCGCCTTATATAAAAGTTATTCCGTATCAACATCTGCCTCCACTCAGCAGGGAAGATCAGATGGCTAGGAGGGATGAGCTACAGCTAACTCTGTGAACGAACGAACAAAGAACCTATTTCTCATAAAGTATGCCAACTAAAAAGGAGATGGATAGGACACACGCTGAGAAGACCGTTGAGTGAAGTCACGCACCATGCTATCGCTCGAGCGGGACCAGAGTAGGAGGTGGTGAGTTGATCGTGGGTTCGAGGGTGACATGGAGAAGATAAGGGCTTATGGGCTATTGTGATGGCGGTTAAAGAGGCTGAAGAAAACAGGGTTAAATAGAGATTTTCTGCTGAAGCCATATGTTCCACTCGGAACCTTATAGTGAGATTTCTGCTCACCTGAATACAATTATGGGTAAATTTATTGGATTTTAATTGAATCTCTTTTAAAAAAAGGTGAACACTTAAAGCTACCTGATTTAACAGGTGCTATAAAACTTGGAAAAGTCTAAGGGAAGTACTTATTTTTATATCTATGGTAGAGGAGCATAAAGTACATAATTTGATTGGGGTACCTACCGTGTGTTACCACACAACCTAACTATTACTCCTCTGACGAGAATGTAGGCGATAATATTAGTTGAATGTTCTACGCTACCGATATAGTTGCGACATTTCGACTTAGCTGATTGACTTTTAATGCAAAAGTCAACATCGTTTTCGAAATTTTTGTAGAGTTCCTGGCTTCTAGGTGCTAGAATAAGAAGAGGACTGCAACACTAGATGAAGGACCTGTTAATATGAATGGTGAGTATGCGACACTACATGACTGTTTTCTAACCAGCATCACACTGTGAGTAAGTCTCGATAAGAACTAACAGTATTTCAGTAAACCTCTACCTGAACCGCCAGTGATGTTTATCACGTTTCTATATATTTCTTGCATTCCGGATGGAAAGTAGGACTTCAGTGGAACATAGCCACTGTACTCAATTCTTTGCCATCATTATCAACGAGTTTTGCGACTGTCCACAAGCTTTTGTTTCCCCCTCGTATTATCTCTATGTCGCCAGCTGACGGCAAATCTGTCGCTTCAAATTCGGGTTCCATCCCATGGCCTAGTGGGCTCCTCAGTGTATGCCTAGTCACCTTCATTTCCTTCTCCATATTGGTTGGCAGTCAGTTGGCGGGTCAGCTGACAGAGTTCCCTGTGACTTACGACTTCCTGCACTGGAGCAGGATATTTGAGCGCCTTCAAGAAGTCCCTGAGTCATCGGCAAACACTGACGTTAGGGATAAATGGAATTCGTTTATTTTACCTCTTGCAGAGTGATGCCAACCTCTATGCTAAGTTTAGAGTGATGAACGCCATTCCAGCCTTCTCAACCCGATCCTGGCTGGCTTTGACATGCTAATCCATACAGAATGTAGTTTAAAATGTAACATGCAATATGAAAGAGGAGCCCTCCGTTAGATTCCTCTACCAACGGCAGTTGGGTTTGCTATTAATTTAGTGTTCTCATCACCGCTGTCTTCACTATGATTACCTGAAATCCTGTCACTTCTGCTTCTTCTGCCAACCTGTTGGATTCTCCTGGTAAATCCTCAAAGTTGTGTGAAGTAAGACATGAATCATCTACGAAATAAAGATCTTGTAAGGTCTTTTTCTCAGTTCGGTATATTCTTATCTTCTAGTCACAATTACCGAAGCCTACATTGTGTTCTGTTGAATTTGAGTGTACTTGCTCCAGTGACTAAACTTATCATGCCGAAGTATCTATAGTTCATTCTACCTCACCTATGTATTATGGTGGAAGACAAAAAATGTACCTCAGTGTTTTCTCAGATAATAGTTTAGACGCAAAGGCAATAACGAATTTGGTTGTTCTATTTGCCTATAACGTACTTAAGATATAATGCCAAGATTTCCTCGGTCGGTGCGACTGTCAAACGTGCTTTTCTGATTACATTAAACACTACCAAAATGTTAAATCACTAGTAAGATAGTAGGATAAAAATTCTTAGTAAGTAGTCTGAAGGTTGCTTGTCACTCAGCAGTGGTCCAGTGGTGAAGATAAAGAAGGAAGTCTTTTATACCGCATATAAACTTGTCGAGTGCTTGCTTTGTGAGTAGGAATACCACAGAGAACCTACTAACCTGGTACCTATTTCGGCTCCAAATGGATTGAGGTGGAAAGCGCATTGCACAAACATCGCAGTTTAATATAGTCTCGTAAAAAGTACCGTAGGTTGTGTCAACTAATGACTTCTTTCACTCCTCTGTTACGGTTCTATTTTGGATATTGGTTTCATGATGTTACCCTGAGGCTAGAGAAGTTAGCCTTAATAGAAGAATACATCGGTGTCGTAGTCAACACAGTATCAAAAGCACTTTCTTAAAATTTCAGTCCAGACGAAGGAGAAGATGAAGTCCTAAAATATTGCTCTTCAATATACAGAATATGTAACATTAGCGTGAATGTTCTGAAGGGTTAACTAGTATATAATTCACTTGCATCGTTCTACTGTCTAATAGACAGTCTACGTGTAGGCGATTTCATAAAGAATGCATGAATTCGCCACTGTAATTGGCCGATTACTGAGAAATTTGTTGTCATTCAACAGTGAATACCTTTATGAAGGTGGTCTTAGTGTATTACGTAAAATGGTTGAATTTAAAGTGCCATACGTTTTCGGAAGTACAGTGGTAACCCGGACTGGTTTTCGTTTCGTGGCCAATATATAAACACTTGATAATTCTAACCAGAGTCCTTATGAACTTTTCAGGAAAAGAAACAGCCCAGTACATAACATAGTAGCCACACAGATGACATCACCTCATAAAGTAATATAATAGTTATAACAGCTGTAATCTGTTTTCCACAATTGGTAGCCAGAAGAATTATAAAGTCCAACGTTGATTATGTGATGCTGTTCAGATAAATAACTTTCACCAAACATTTAGAAATTCACTGTACATATTCTGTTGTTCTCACACGTATGCACGTATCACATCTTATCGGTTAATCTCTAGAAGGGTGGTAATCAGAGGTGCGAGGTAAATAAGCAGCTCAGACTTCCTCATGCCTGTGACTATTTGGAATAAGGAATTTGTGGTTCTTTTTCGCATGACCTCGTTAAAAATATATATTGTTTTAATTTTGTAGCCACGTGAGGTTGTTATAATGTTTCAATTTACCAATCTCTATAGTAAGCATGCCGCTACACATTTAAGCACACAATGGAATACTGTGGGGATAAATATGAGGGGGAAACTAGAAATAATAGGTAATAAGTGTCTAATATGAATATTTTTGTTGAAGATTGGAAGGATTTGGTAAATATACACTACCTACAGGAACGTACTATGAAGGTGAAATGTATGATGGCATGTTCCATGGGAAAGGAACTTTGCACTTCCAAAATGGCAGTAAATATCAGGCCACCTGGGAAAGAGGGCATCCCAAAAATGTTAGTAGGACTTTACTGTTTGACATTTCTAGGGGGAAATTATATATGCTGATGGCTTGAAATATAAGGAAGGTTCTCATTATTGTGATGAGTTTGATAGAAGATTCTACACAGAAATATGTTTTGGATTGAAACCTGCAGGTATGTTATAAAAAGATAATCAGTTGTGAGTTTTGATGTATGCAGTGCTACTTATATAGTGAGACGATTCTGCCGGAATATGTTAACATATGAGTGAATTCTTGCGCGTACTCTTGTTAAGGTCGTTCATGGTTAATATGGGTTGAACTTCCTATGTAATACATTCGACAAGGTGTTAATGTACGTCATAGGTCTCAAGACCTTGTGCACATACCAGACAACCATTAATTATTCATAAAAATAGAACTTATTTGAAACGATAATCCAACATTTTCTATATAATATATATGATAGTGTAACATGCCTTATGATTCAGATTATAAGGATAGAAGGCTCTCGTTGTCTATGTTAGTCGTGATATATATATATCTCTGCAGAGTTCCAGTTTCTCTTTGAAAGCGTTCACCGATGGAGCTGTTACTACTGAATCAGGTAAGGAGTTCCAGTCGTTGACCACTCTGTGAGAGAATCTAAACTCCACACGAATTTTATTCGACCTCGGTTTGAGCACCTTCTTGTGGTGACCTCGTAAATGTATCCCAGAAGGAGAGAAAAGGTTTGAAAGGTCAATCCCTAAATCACCATTGAATATACTGTAAGCCAAAATTAAGTCGCATCTCCTCCTTCGGTATGATAATGGGAAGAGCTTTAAATGCTCCATCCTCATATCATAAGGAAGGTGTGAGATACCACTAAATAATTTCGTTCCTACACTCTGTACTCTTTCCAGGATATGTGCCCTCTTTTTGAAGCATAGACTCGCCGCTTGTATGCAATACTCTAGATGAGGTCTGACATATGTTGTATAGAGTACTTGGAGCATACACTTATCTGACCGTTTGAAAGCCCTTCGAAGTGACCATAGAATTTGAAAAGCCTTAGATGCGGCTCGATTACAATTTACCGTTGTTTTTAAGTCATGGCTAACAATAATTCCTAAGTCCTTCTGTCCCTTAACATCTGGAAATTCTGTGTCCCCCATGGAGTACGACGTGTAATACTTCTGACCTAGGTGCATTACCGCGCTTTTCTTGGAATTAATGTCCAGACTGCAAAGGTTAGCCCATTCGGTTAATTTATCTAGATCGTTTTGTAGTAGCAACTTATCATCGTTACTATTTACGGTTTTCCATACCTTAATATCGTCCGCAAATAGTAAGGAAGATGGGGTAAGAATTTTCGGCACTTCATTTACGTATGATAGGAATAGCAAGGGGCCAAGTACAGTTCCCTGAGATACTCCACTTAGTATTGCTTTCCACCCTGACAGCACACCATTAACCCTTACCTTCTGCCTCCTATCCATCAGGTAATCGCTAAACCACTCACATAAGCGTTGGTCTAATCCAGAACGTTTAATTTTACTAAGAAGACCTAAATGGGATACCTTATCGAATGATTTACTAAGATCGATGAAGACAACGTCCAGTAGATGGTCCTTATCCCTGGCCTCGACCCAATCTTCCCTAGCTAACAGTAAGTTTGTCAAGCAGGATCGTCCTGGTCGGAATTCATGCTGTTCCACTGCCAGTAAGCCATGTTTTTCTATATGAGCTAAGAGCTGATCCTCTATGAGTTTTTCTAACACCTTTGCTATAATGCAGGTCAGAATTACAGAATTAGTTAGATACTAACTGCCTGTTCCCATGTTTGAAGATGGGGCTTATAAAAGCATCTTTCCAGTCTCTGGGTAACCTAGCCTGGGTCAGAGACATCTGAAAAATCACCGTAAGTGGAATGTATATTATATCCGCCAAGGAGATTAGCAATCTAGGGTGAAGTCCGTCTGGTCCAGGTGATTTACCTGGCTTTAGCTTAGACAGTAGTTTGAGAACCACTGCATCCTCTACCACAATTGCGGGCATTTTAGTGGCTACATCAGTGACCTTGCTACACCCCTGAGTGAAACGATTAGGCGAGAAAACATCAAAAAAGTATTCGAAGAGCTTTTCAGCTTTTGTTTCGTCTGACTTGGCAGCCTCTCCAGTGTTGCTAGTGAGGGACGGTATGTCACTGCTAGTTTTAGTCCTTCTTTTGATATACGAGTATAGTCTTTTTGGATAATGCACACAATCCAGTACTAACTGCGTCTCATACTCTATACGACTTTTGTCAATCTTATACTTAAAAAGGTTTCGGATTTTGCGGTATTCCATCCGAGTTTCATCCCTCCCAGTCACAGTAAACCGGTCCCAAAGGTTACTTTGTTTTCTTAATAACCTCCGTATTTCATTACTAATCCAAGGTGGTTTATGCGATAGTTTTCGAGGCGTAGACCAAGGTAAAAAGGGTACAGTGACGCAATCAAGTGTATTTCTAAATCCCATCCAAGCCTCCTCGACAGTCTGGTGTGTATTAACAGACCAGTCAGCTAGGGTTGCTGCATTTCGGATTGCAGGTATATTCGCTTTCCAAACGTTTGGGGGAGCTGTTGACCTATGTATGACAGCGTGGATCCTAAACATAAAAGTGATAACTATATGGTCACTACTGTCTAGCGGCGCCAAACACCTAATGTCACCGACATCCTCATTCTGGTGTGTTATCACTAAGTCTAGAGTGGACGGATCATGTTCAGGGTGGTATCGTGTTGGTGCATCTATATGCTGCACAAGTGCGCATTCAAATACTGCCTGTATGAATTCCCTGTTGAAACAATTCTACGAAGTAGTTGATGTTAATTCCTCCCAATTAATATGTGGGGCATTCAAGTCACCTACTATTAGACACCAATTTCTACTACTCCACATCCTGAGGTGATTTAGAACGAAATCGTCAGCTTCGCTGGTAGGACTTTTATAAATAACCCCAAGTGTCACAGTATCCTTGATATAAGAATAAAACTTGGGCACTGTGGTAGAGTGTATGTATGTATAATGGAATCACAGTATCCTTGTTCAAGTTAATGACGCCGCTTGCGGCTTCACTGGTGCCGCTGTCATGAGCTTCCGACAACGTCGATCTAATTCCTATGTCATCCCAGATTTATAGAGCAGCCCCCCCCCCCACCATTCCGACTACTTACTCTGTTTGCTCTAATGCAGATGTACCCAGATATGCAGTCCTTAAATACCGTTCGTATCCCCAGCATAATTAAGTTAGAATTCACGACCAGCTTTAAGTACATAAATCAATAAGCAAAATCAATATTTGTGTGATGAAACTTCATGCATAAAAGGACATCAACATTTACTTTAACTGCGAATACAACCGGTAGTTAGTAACTAGCCAAAATAGAGAATTATAAGACATCATAAACATTTTTCATGAAAGATTTGTAATTTGTCAAGAAGCATAGACACAAAATAAGTATATGGTTTATCAACTTGTAATTAGGAAGACTTTCTTTGATGCATGTTCTGAAGGACCAAATGGAACCATTTAAAGGTTATACAATGCACGAGATTGGCCACTGGGAGCAAAATATGCTGCAAAACACCTAACACGGTCGAACTTTAGTTGTTTAATCATTGTGAAGGTCTTAGATTTGCATGCTTAACAGCTTTTACAGATTACGGTTGATGCAGCGACACAGATGCATCCATACTTCATATTCACCTTGATTATTACAATCGTATTTATAGAACTTTACAGCCTTTGATAGCATTATCTTTACCCCTTCTTTAGCCTAGAATTTCATGAATGGATCTAACTTGAGGCTGTTATGGCAAATATACTGCAGTGCTAAGTCCCATGTAGTGTCTGTTAGAAAACAGTCCCACCATATTGTTTAATTACCCCAAATGATATCCGCATTTCTACCGAATGTCATTGGTTTATGCCGAAGGAAAACAATCGAGTAAATTTATTTTTAAAACAAGAAGCAAGTCCACTGGAAGCGGTTTACTGCCCTCCGAACTTTAAAACTTTGTTCTTAGATGAATTACACGTAATAACAATCCGATATCTTAATATTTTGTGAAGTTTAATGTTTTAAATGTAGAAATGGCTATCCACAGACAAGTATATTGATTAATCCATCAAATTAGGGTGAAGAATGCTACGTAAATAGTATTTTTGAATGGTTGTTGCCGTTTGATTAAGAATTACTTAGGAGCTGGAAGGTAAGATTGTCAGGTTAGCAAACACGCAGAAACTTTACCGAATAACCAGATACTTAAGGTTGTAGAAGAACAGAGTCATTTAGATTATAACTCACTAACTGCATACAGACATGTGCGCTACACCGTAAGAGTCAATGAAGTTGCATAGCTGTCAGTACTTAAATCAATAACAAAACTAGTTGGAGTAGTTAACGAGACCGGTGGAAATTTCTGAACAAACGAGTTACAATTCTACCTGACACCATATGAGGATATATTTGGCGTATTTATCTCATGTAACTAATTTTCTAAGATGTCAACTGCTAAATAATGTAGAGAACATCATCACAAGGTGCTTAGAGATAATGATCCTATCATAAAGTTGGAAAAGAAAGTAATCTCACAACACTACCGCATTCTGGGATTTCGTTTTCTGTTCTAAAGCGTATACTAGTGCAGAACTGTTACGAGACGCAAACACAAGGAATAAACTGGTCGCAACTGTAAAAGGTTTTATTGGATAGGGTATTGTGTGAGAGCTATAAAGCAGTTTATATTAGTCACTAAAATGTGTTATGTCCAGGGAATGTTGTTACAGCCCCCACCAGTTTGGCATGTCTAGCTAGATCAAAAGCTTTTATAAATCATGAATCCCACTCGGCTTTACATAGACGATGAGTAATATTTACTGTCAGATCATAAGATATTACTGAATGCCTCAATGTTCTGTAATTAAGATTTAATCAGCTGAATAACATTAATGTAAGTGTAGAACTTGGGCATTGTGATAGAATGCAATTCCATATTAGATAAGTTAATTTTAATAATCACACAGTGATGCAGCATTAAAAAATGGATGGCATTTCGAGCACAAACTATTGCGACTCATAATCATATCGATTTAATCACACGTTTTGACAATTTGTCTTACATACGTATTTTATCTCTTCCTGTCTT